ATATCCAATAAATTACTTGATCTAAACCACGTGGTCCTTCGTAATTTTGTTCCGACGAATAAGGCCACAAGCCGGCCTATCTATAGGAGCAAACATTTGGTCCTTCGAGCCGGATCTTTTGAATCTTGCGAATACCGGTATTTTTAGTTTTGAGTTTTTCACTTCTTCGGTTTAATTTCGTCGTGGTTTAGATTGTAGTTTATTGGATAAAAACAAAGAACATTGTTGAATGCTATTGTGGTTTCATATTGCAAATTTTGTTTGTCGCGTATAGTCGAATTGTGTTTGTCGCGTATAGCCGGGTGAATAGTTTGCTTGATTTTGTCGCACTTGGTCCGTCCGTTCGAGATTGAGCGCTTTGTTTTTTGATTTGATTTTGTGAATTTGTCGGTCGCAGCTGTGTATTTCTTTGGACGCTGATACAAGGTAAATTTTTTGAATCTCATTCGAAGATTAATTACACAAAACTCATTGTTGCTTTGTTGAACTGTTGTCAAAATGAGTCCAAAAATTAACAATAGTCTCGAATTGATGTCGCGTAAATTGGCCATCGAAGATATTCACAAAATATTTGAGCTAAGCCAAGAGGTCTTGGAGAATTCGTCTCCGTCCTTGGTTTCAGCGTTAAAAACGAGAAGTAAATTTTTGGAATCGCGATACAATGAATTTGAAAAATGTCATTTAACTGTCATCTCACGAATGTCGCAATCAGAACTAGAAYCYCAGACTAAGATCCGACAAATTGTGAATGACGAATATTTTGGAATTTTAGAAGTGTTGGCCGAWCTTTCAKAGCCGGTAGTCGAAGATAAGCCCGTTGATTTGTGTAATAGTGCGTTAAAACTCAACGTTCGCTTACCAAAATTGGAACTTTTCAAAWTTTCTGGGGATTTTAAATCGTGGCAAACTTTTATTGATTTGTTCGACAGCTTGGTTCACAGTCAATCGCAATTGTCGAATATTGAGAAATTTCAATATCTCATTTTATCGCTCACGGACGAGCCTTTAAATTTAYTAAAATCGATTCCTTTAACCGCTTCCAATTATTCGGTTGCTWATGACACATTGGTCAAGCGGTACGCGAATAAGAGACTTCTCGCGACAAATCATTGGCATGCTTTGGTGTCCTACCCTCCACTACAGTCGGAAAACCCTATAGAGTTACGGAGGTTAGTCGACACATTTTGTGAAAATCTCTGCATTTTGAAAGGTTTAGGTTTCCCAACCGAGTTTTGGGACTTCATCGTCGTAGATTTGATATTAGGAAAATTAGACAAGCAAACTCGAAAACGATTTGAGTTGCAACTCCGGTCTTTTGAAATTACGTCTCTTGAGAAGATTAAAACCTTTTTGGAGCAGGAAGTTGTTGCACTGGAAACTATAGCTGTTTCACAACAGGTGTCGTCAACTACAAATACATTTCGGTATTCAAAAGTAGCTCATGGCACTTCGTCAAAATCGCGTTATGATTCTGCTCCAAAATCTGCATTTGTCGCAACTTCACATAAAGTTTCGTTGCCGTCGTCTTGTTCTGTTTCTTCGTCGTTTAATTCGACTTCGTCGACTGCTTTGTCAACGTCGGTACAGCAATTGTCTTGTGGGTTGTGCAAGCTCGCACATTCTATTTATCGTTGTCCTTCATTCTTGGCAAAAGATCGTTACCTTGTTGCAAAACAGGCTCAGTTGTGTCTCAATTGCCTGCGCCCATCTCACGTTTCGTCGTCCTCCACTTGTAAGGAGTGTCAGCAAAGACATCATTCGTTGCTTCATTTCGAAAAAACTCATGCCTCTATCGTTAACTCTGTCTTATCGAATTCTGAAACTAAGGCGGTTCGAGGGGCTGTAAGTGCTAACACCTCCGTAGTATTAACATCGTCATGTCCCGTGACTACCGTCTTGTTGTCTACCTACGGTACTTGTTGAGGTCCAAGACAATAATGGAAAATATCATGTGGTAAGTGCCCSGTGCGATCCGGGATCTCAGGCTTCATMCATCGTGGATCATTGTCGAAAAACGTTGAAGATACCCTGTACCRCTGTAAGTCATGTCCCGTGACTACCGTGTTGTTGTCTATCTACGGTACTTGTTGAGGTCCAAGACAATAATGGAAAATATCATGTGGTAAGDGCCCDGTGCGATCCGGGATCTCAGGCTTCATTCATCGTGGATCATTGTCGAAAAACGTTGAAGATACCCTGTACTTCTGTTTCTTCCCCTATCTTTGGTTTGGGTCATACACCATCGGGTGCCTCCAATGGAATTTCCATTTGTAAAATTCGTCCCATTAATAGTTCGGTCAGTCCACGGACATTAAATGTTATCTCCATTCCTCGTATTTGTTCGTCATTGCCCAATGTTGAGGTCAACCCTTCGAAATGGAGACATCTTCAGAGCTTACAACTTGCAGATCCCCATTGGTACAAACCCGGTCCCATCGACATGCTTCTCTTCTCGGTGCCGATATCTACCCTGCTCTCATTAAAACAGGTGTCACATCAAACGGTGCTGGTCAGCCAATAGCCATTGAAACAATTTTCGGTTGGATGATCCTTGGTCCAACGGGTTGTTCCCAGCAAATTTGTTTGCCAATCGCTCCAGTTTGTTTGTCACGTCGTTTGAACCACGTTTGGACGACACTCTTAGAAGATTTTGGGAGCTCGAAAGTGTACCCGAGGTGAGAAGTTTGTCTGCGGAAGATCGTAAGGCTGAGTTTATATTTCAACGTTCTCATTCTCGCGAAGTGAATGGACGTTTTGTTGTGTCGTTACCCTTCAAAGGGGATCATCCGCCCAACTTTCAAAATTCWCTTAGAATTGCTGATTATCGTTTTTTGTCACTCGAACATCGTCTGTCAGGAAAACCTGATCTTCGAGCTTTGTACGGAAACTTCATGCAAGAGTACATCGACTTGGGACATATGTCTCTTGTGCCACAAGATCAAACAATTTCTTCAAATTCATACTTTATTCCTCATCATGTTGTTGTTAAAGAGCAAAATGGAAACAAAAAAATTCGCGTAGTTTTTGACGCATCGGCCAAAGACTCCAATAATTGGTCGTTAAACGATTCTCTACTTGTCGGTCCAAAATTGCAAGATGACATTGTCGCTATTTTACTTCGTTTTCGATCTCGTGCAATCGCTTTCACGTGTGATGTTAGACAAATGTACCGTCAAATAATGGTTGAACCTGATCATCGTAAATATCAGTTCATTCGGTGGAGGTCTTCGCCTTCACATCCTATCGAAACATATCAGCTCAACACTGTAACGTATGGTGTTTCATCTGCTCCATACTTGGCTATTCGGACTTTGCTTCGACTGGCTGAAGAAGGTCAAACATCGTTTCCCCTGGGAGCTTCAGCGATTAAATCCAATTTGTATGTTGACGATTTCGCATGCTCTTCTGATTCGGTCGAGTCTGCTCTTGAACTCCAGAATCAATTGATATAGTTGTTGAAGGTTGGTTGTTTTGAGCTTCGGAAATGGTCGAGCAATCATCCTGATTTATTGAAAAATTTTCCTTTGTCGCACTGTCCACAGAATCTCACGCTGGGAGATTCTGGACCCTCTGTTAAAATTCTTGGTCTTCAGTGGGGTTCTGTATCTGATTGTTTTTCCTTTACAGTCAAAGTTATGGAATCATCCTGCACAAAACGCTTGATATTATCGGAAATCGTCAAAATCTATGACCCCTTGGGGTTTTTGGCTCCATTGACATTGTTTGCCAAACAACTCATTCAACAACTGTGGTCTTTGGGTTTGGACTGGGATGACACTCTCCCTTCGGATCTTCGATGTCAATGGGATCAATACAAATCGGAACTTCCACTATTAAAGTCACTTAATGTGCCTCGACATATGGTACCAAGGGCAATGGTTACATGTGAACTTCATGGCTTCTGTGATGCTTCACAATTTGGGTATGCCACAGTAGTGTACTTTCGGTGTGTTGATTCGGTGGGTCACATTTGTGTGAACTTTGTTATCGCCAAATCTAGAGTAGCGCCTCTAAAGATCATTTCGATTCCTCGTTTGGAATTATGTGCAGCGTTGTTATTGTCAAATTTAATTGTTTTTGTTCAAAAGACATGTCAAAATGTTATTTGTATTGATCGTGTTTTTGCCTGGAGTGATTCGTCGGTTGCTCTCACTTAGATTTGTTCATCTCCTCACAAATGGCGTACATTTGTGTCTAATCGTGTTACGCACATTCAGGAACGTGTTTCTCCTGAATGTTGGCATCATGTGAAATCGCAGGACAATTCTGCTGATCCCGCTTCTCGTGGTCTCCTTCCTGGCCAGGTTTTGTCATGCTCCCTTTGGTGGGCGGGTCCCGAATGGCTCTCCTGTCCCACAGATCAATGGCCTGAGCTTCAAGTTGCAGCCCCTTCCATTCCCCTACCATTGATTTGGAGGAAAGAACAACCGTTCTTGTCGCTCTCGTAGAGCCCTCATGGGTTGAAAACCTTCTAAACAAATTTTCTTCATTGCGGAAAATACAGGGTATCGTCGCTTATTGTTTCCGCTTTAAATATAATTGTCGTTCGTTGGACAAGCGTTCTGGTCCTCTCTTGGAGAGTGAACTTCACAATGCTCTTATGCATATTGTCAAAGTGGTTCAAAGCAAGGTTTTTGCACAACCGATTTCTAGTTTGAGTCAAGGGACTAAATGTTCCAAACCTCTTCAGAAACTCTCACCGTTTCTTGATGAGGAAAACATTATTCGCGTCGGTGGTCGTATCTCTCATTCCGACCTAGCTTTCTCGGCCAAGCATCCGGCTTTGCTATCACGCCACCATCGGCTTACGGAATTGTTAATTCGACAAGTCCACAACAAAAATTGTCATCCTAGAATAAACACCACAATTTTTTTACTTGAACAAAATTTTTGGATATTGTCTGCTCGTCGAACTGTTCGTCATTGTCTGTCAAAGTGCTAMCGATGCTTCCGCACCAAAKCGAGACCTTTAAACCCTCCAATGGGTGATTTTCCTCTTAGTAGAGTTTCGAAAGTTAAACCGTTTAGTTGTGTTGGGGTAGACTTTGGTGGTCCTTTCACCATTACTGCGTCTCGGGTGAGAGGTGTCAAGCTCCTCAAATCTTATTTAAGTCTTTTTGTTTGTTTTGCCACTAAGGCCATTCACGTGGAGATCGTCTCGGATCTTTCAACGGATGCATTCATCGCCGGTTTACGKCGATTTATTGCTCGTCGCGGTAGATGTGATCGTATATTTAGCGATAATGGTACCAACTTCGTGGGTGCCAATCGAGAACTTTGTCGTCTCATGCGATTTGCCGTGGACAGTCAGTCTATCGAGTGGTCGTTTAATCCGCCTTCTGCGCCCCACTTTGGGGGCTTATGGGAGAGCGGCATCAAATCGGTTAAAACGCATATTGCTCGAGTTGTTGGATCGCAAGTTTTAACGTTTGAGYAGTTGTATACTCTCGTGGTTCAAATTGAAGCTTTGTTAAATTCTCGACCACTGTGCCCTTTGAGCAATGATCCGAATGATTTGCGGTCATTAACACCCGGTCATTTTTTAACTCTTGAACCTCTGACTGCCCCTCCGAACCCAGATTTAACACATTTGAAAATTTCCAATTTGTCGCGATGGCAATTAGTYCAACGAATGCAACAAGAGTTTTGGAAACGCTGGCACAATGAGTACCTACACACCCTGTACCAGCGCAGAAAATGGGCAGTTGCACCTCTGTCTTTGGTGGATATAGGCTCTTTGGTCCTCTTAAAGGACGAACTGTCCCCTCCTTTGCAATGGAAGATGGGACGCATTGAATCAATTCATCCGGGTCCGGACGGTCACGTGCGCGTCGCTACTATTCGTACGTTATCGGGTTCAATTAAACGACCCCTTGTAAAAATTTGTCCATTGCCTTAGATAGGATTTCACTTGTTCTTTGTTCGTTTTTTTTTTTTTCGTTTTGTCTTAAACTTCAATTTGTGGTATTATTTGAAAAAACCGTTTTGTAAACGTCATTTTGGTAGGCGGTATGTTTCGTGCCGTCATGACACCCGTTACCAAGTTGTCGTCATGATACCCGTTGCCAAGCTGTCGTCATAACAACCGTTGTCAAGTCGTCGTCAAGTTAGAAAATCAAGAGAGTCGTCGTCGTCAAAGTTTGTTGTAACAACGACTGGGTAGCGTTTTTTTTTTTTTGCAAACTTGTTGTTAGAATCATCTTCGTGTTGTTAGAATCATCTTCGTGTTGTTAGAATCATCTTCGTATTGTTAGAACCATCTTCGTGGTAAAACAACTGTGTAGTGTCGTTTGGAAGCTTGTTGTTAGAATATCTTCGTCGTCATCCTCCTCCAACTACCATCGACCTTCGACTCCCCACCGGGCATAGAAACCAGACCGTCCCCAGCCTTTCGACTCTCCGCCAGCAACCGGAACCAAGGCACAGTACCGTCCCCATTTGCGTTTAATTTTGGCTTTAACTTCGTATTGTAAATATTGTTTGATATCCAATAAATTACTTGATCTAAACCACGTGGTCCTTCGTAATTTTGTTCCGACGAATAAGGCCACAAGCCGGCCTATCTATAGGAGCAAACACTATTCATTAACAAATAGTTTGACAGGGTGTTTTATCCCATCGGAAAAATCTATCAATACCATTTAGATATTAATCCTTTTCGTAGTTAATTATTAATGTTTAATTTATTATAAATATTGGAAAAAATTATTAAATATAAATCATATAAATAAATCAAACTTGTTGATAAATTGAAAGAGTTGCAGTTGAATGAATTGGCCAAGCTTCATGAGGCCAAAATTTTTTTATTTCTTTATATTGACATGTTGCACATATTTGATATTCATTCTCCTATTAAAGTAATATTAGAACAAATTAAATCAAGTGTCGCACTAATAATAGTAAGTATGTAACCTCCTTATACATATTACCTTTTTTTTACCGAACAAAGAAGTTTGTGAAATTAATAACATATGTAACACAGTATACAGATCTCAGAAACCGTTGCCTGCAACTATTTTAAATTTTAACTTGTTCTTTATTCTATGCTTGTGTTGTTGGCAACACTGACTGTCAACCTATGCTGCAAAACAAAACACAAGAAAAACAACGATAACATGGGGGTGCCGCATGAATGGAGAAATTGGAAACATAATTTTAAATTTCCCGCTAAGCATACACCCGAGATAGTCAACAATGTCAACCCAAATATGGCAAAAATTGCATAAATAGCATGCGCAGTTTTGTGAAACGGTTGACGGTGGTGATAGTTTAAATGTTTTATAATTCGTTGATTTTTGCGTAAACATCGCGTTAACCTCATCACAGAACAGGGATATTTAGGTAAGTAATATAAGATTTTTAGTAAATTGCAGTGATTGGAGCCCGTGAAAGGTCAGTGGATTATTCCTGTGCAACAGCGTTGCTTACCGCAAGAGTTCTTCAAATTTCCAAGAGATCAACGAAAACAGCAGCTTTGGAGAACAATTTGTAACATCGAMCCTGGCGTTCGATGTGAAAATTTTCATATATGCGAAGGTCACTTTCAAGTTTCAGAGTTTTTAGGTTTTTTAGGGTTCTCTTTGTCCTTTTGCCGTTCCAAAAGCTGGTGTCTTCAATGACCGGGTTAATAAAAAACACTGTAGAGCTGAAGTAGAAACTGAAAACTTAGAACATTCCTCTTGTGATGTTACAAAAAGTTTAAAGGTTCTGAAATGTAATGTGAGTGAAACTTCCTTCATTAGCGAAGCCAGATTTAGCCGTGAATGAGCAATGTCAAAATTTTGAATTAGTTAAACGAAATTTGCCAACTAGATGAGGGGATTTCTACTTATTGCGAAAAAAATACAAAGGTACGTTTTCTTTTTGTTCTTCTAATTGTTAACGTTATATTATTTTCGGTTTCTGAATGGTGAGAACAATTTATGGAAAATTTATCAGTTTTTTACAATTATTTTCTACTTCGATTAGATGAAGCAAATCACGTTTGTACCTCTGTAAACTGTCATATGAAACTGGGAAGTATTTTTTTAAATGGAAAATGTGTTTAAACGACTATTCTCACCTGAGGATGACCACTTTGTGGTTGAAACGCGTTGTGTTTTAAATAAAAATTTGGTGTGACAGGTTTAATCGTGTTTTTGTTTATATATTGAAATTAAGTTGTACATGAAAGAATTATATTATGTACATAGTATTTTGTGTATTATGTAATATATTGGTATTTTATAAAAGAGTGTGTTACTTCCTTAGTCCCAATAAAAGATATTGATTTTAGAGGTTTTATACAAACTTTGATTACACTTACTCAATTTTTGTATAAAACTAGTACTTAATGCAAACTATAAAATACCTGGAAATTTAAATTACGCGGGGCATTCCAATATGGCGCTTAGTTACACACCCGATCACTAGAGGCGCAATCGGCATAATTTGTTTCCTTAAATTAACACGGCGCTGTCGCTTCTTTATCTATCTGTTCTGTGAACGATAAAAAGCAAGATAAGATAAAATGGATTTAAATCAGTTAATAAACGAGTTCCGACAGTTGCAAATCGTACGCAAGAATTTGAACAGGGGTCGCCGGTCTTTTGGGCCACAATTGTTGAATCAACTCTTCCAAATAATTCGTCACAGCGCAGGCAGTTGATGATTTTACAAGAAGAAGTCGAGACTTACCATAAAGACAATGATTCCATTGAAATTAACCTTCAGGCTTACATAAATAAACCTGACCCGTTAATTATATTTGAGAATATTGAAGAAACAAATGGTTTTAAAATTGCATTTCGCCATTTCATGGAGTATGGGTAAATAATATCTATTCTTAATCTCATGTCATGATTTTCTTTCACTTTTTTCTTTGCAGTAATCCAGAAGCAACAACATAGAAGAAATCCAATGGTTTTGTACTTTTTTTGCAAATAAATATGTAAATATCAATCAAAGTGGTTTAATATTTTGTCTTTTCAGATAAACATACGTTTAAAAACAAAGCAAAAAATCGCATAAAAACTGATGTTCGATAATTAAAAATGTTTTTTTTTTTACTTTAAAATATTAATTTGTTTAGAACAAGTGTTTTGTCTAAAATTTGTTAGATTATAGTGAATTTTATAATATTAAAATCATTTTATATCAAACGGGTTGTCGTTTTCTGTGTCGTATGGTGAAGGGGCTTCATCTATTTTTGACATATGTAGTTCTATAATTATGCTAATCCTCTATTATTGCTATAACAGGGTAAAATCGCATATAATCCTAATTTAATAATAAATAGTTTTTCTTTTAAAGTCGTTAACCTTGTAAAACAGCACTATGAATTCGTGGACGTAGTCGAAGCGAATTCGCTTGGACGAAGCCATATTCACTTTTGTGCTCAAGTGGTCCAACAGAAAAACAGGGCAAAACCTTTGAAAAAAATGTTAATTTAAAAATATATCTTAAAAACGGGGATCTTTTCACGATTTTTTCTGCTTTTTTGTGTTTACCCTTGAAAATCGGGGTATTTTCCGTAAAAAGTGGCTGTGTGCCAGTGACGGCTCGTCTGGGACGGCAGGGTCGGCCCGGTCGTACCAAATAACGTAAAAGTACGGAAAATATTTTTTAGTTAATATTTAAAAAAAAAAATTATTCTTAAGCACTTTGGGTAATATCTTTCGTAATTTACTACAATTTAATATTTTTCACTCGTTCGGTCAGTCCAGTACGATCTATACGCGCTATTAGTGTGACGTCAGCAAGGTACGTGACTGTACCTTTGAAGCTAAACAAATAGAAGTTTATTTCTTGAATCCTGGACGTGTAGGGAGATTGTTTCTAAGCAAATAGTTGCTATGAAAAATGTGTGTCGTTTCGTAATGGTTTTAACAATTATAGTCAACATTTCTGTAATTTAATCAGTTCTAACCTCACTTTCTGTGTACGTCAAAAATATGTGTACAGCATTGCCAGAATGTTGCAAACGACAGGAGTGGATAGGTCGTACCAAAACAAAACAAAATAAAAAATATTAACATTCACATAATGTGTATTTGGCTGAGAATATGAATTATTATTTGTTTACAAGTAAATATAAATATCTAGTAAAAAAATCTATCATCAATTTGGTACTCTAGTATCACAACTGGCAACACTGTATGTTT